CGGAGAATCGGAGCAGCGGGAGCGGTACTGCAGTCGCTTTACCGCACCGTTGTGACGAAAAGGGAGCTGAGCCAGAAGGCAAAGTTCTCTGTCTACTGGGCCATTTTCGTTCCTACCCTCACCTATGGTCATGAAGGATGGGTCATGACCGAAAGAACGAGATCGTGGGTACAAGCGGCCGAGATGGGTTTTCTCCGCAGGGTGGCTGGTGTCTCCCTTAGGGATAAGGTGAGAAGTTCGGTCATCCGGGAGGGACTCGGAGTTGAACTGCTCCTCCTTCGCGTCGAAAGGAGCCAGTTGAGGTGGTTCGGGCACCTAGTTAGGATGCCACCTGGGCGCCTCCCTAGGGAGGTGTTCCAGGCACGTCCAGCTGGGAAGAGACCAAGGGGTAGACCTAGGACCAGATGGAGGGATTATATCTCTTCGCTGGCCTGGGAGCGCCTTGGGATCCCCCAGTCAGAGCTGGTTGATGTGGCCAGGGAAAAGAAAGTTTGGGGCTCTCTGCTGGAACTGCTACCCCCACGACCCGACCACGGATAAGCGTGAGAAGATGGATGGATGGATGGATAGATACAAACATTTGATGTAAGGTAATACTTGTGATGATAGACCTATGCTAATAAAAAAAGTTGTAAGTGGTGTTGCATTATACAGTTTAGGATAACACAGAATGTGGTTATATGCAAGCAGGAATTATTATTTTCCTCATGTGTAAATTATGTCAGAAGCACCATGTGTTGGCTACATCATGACTAACATTATACCCACCCACAAAGGGAATACGGCTACATAGAGGTTTAAACAAGAGAGGGAGCTTCATGAGATTGTAAAATCGCTGAAATGTAATAATGAAGAACTTATTGTCCATACAGGACTCTTCGCACAGCATGGGGAGGTTGCTCATTTTCACTGCTTGCACAGTGTGTTTGTTCCCCATATGAGATAGCTGAAGCAAGAGAGCCTGAACTGCTGTTTGACATGGCTTTGTTTTAATTGAGCTTCTTTGGAGGAAAGGATATTGAGTCTGGCTCATCCTTTGGGAAATTAAAGATTTCTTTTGGGGGTAAAATACAACACCGTAACATAAATCATACGTTTTAGGCTGTAAAAAGAAGAGTATTCAATTCCCACAATTTAAACTTCATAGAGTGTGGCACATACTGTCAAAAGTGTTGGTGTCAGGTAGGGACAGGGGCAGGAAATCTTCTAGCACCACAGGAAGTGGCCGGTCAACACAGCCGCAAGGGAGCACTCCGTTGAGGAAAATGTGGACTCAATAAACTTGTATCTGCTGCTTTTCCCATCCTGTGCTTGCTATAAAGCATCACAGGCCGAAATGGTGCAATAGTTTTAGAGACTTGTATCACATTTTGAGTAATCTTTGAAACAATTTCAGGTGATTAGTTGGTTAAAATGTTAGCTTTAGCTAATTAGGCTACCATTAGCTACAAGACTTTTTAATGCTGCTTGCTGACTTTTTTTGCACTGTAATTGTGTAGTTTAATTAGGCTCTTAAATATACTAGCTTCATAACATTTATTGTATATAAAGCTTCTGTATCTTTATTTTCATCATTACTTCTTGGTTTCAAAAAGACGATATGATGAATAAGGGTTTTACTATACAGGCCCATGCACACCTCTTTTACATGTAGAAGTATCAAAAATGTGACTTAACTTTGCTAAATTGGACATGGACTTATTTTATATATATATATATATATATATATATATTACTTTTCCCAGACATATAACTAATAGGTAATATACAGTGTGTTTTATAATTAAGGTCATTAATGATCGTATGATCGAACATTCTCTTGGCTTAAACCTTAATGATACACTGATGAATAGCAGCCAATTTTTTAATCTCCTTTAACATGTGGCAGACAGTGCCATTACCATCTGTCTGTCTCCAGTTTTTGCACTTTCAGCAGCTGCTGTATTCCACATTTGCCTCAGTTCTTGCCAGTAAAGCTTATGCCAACTTTCCTGGGATGATTTAAAGGTCACTGGTGCATTAAGCAGAAAAGTCACTAAGGAGGGTCAAAACGGCAACATCCTTTAACTACTCTAAGTCTCGTTGACAATGTCTGGTGTACAGTATGTCTTCTGTTTTTCTTTCCTCTAGTACACTATCAGAAAGTTGCCAGTAGGATGTGATTGGTGGCCACATGATGTACCAACTGTTTTCTATATGCATGTAGGCATGTTTGACAGCTGATTGCATCCACCTGGCTATGACATAAACTCTCTTTCTTCCCTTAGCAGCCATCTCTCTAAGGCTAATTCAGATAAAAGCCAATATATTTGACAAAGTCCATGCACACTTAATAGAAATAGTGGATCTCATTTGCGCATGATAAACTGCAAACACCAAAAATCATGCTTCAGAGGTAACATTAACTTCTGATCACAGTTAGAGCTGTGAAACCTTTAAATATCCCTAAGCAACTGCCCCCTTCAAGTCTGCACATTAGGGCCTCCGTGACCCATATGTGTTAAAGACAAATATAACCTGCCGCTACCAAAGCTGCTACCTCGAGAGCCGTCTGTTTCTGTT